TTTCTAATCCACCACCCATCCTTTGTACAGCAATGCTTTCAAACGGAGTGCCCACTAGTAAAGAAAACATTCTCGTCGTCATTTGTTGTAAAAAGAATAGAGATATAAAAAGCTGTTTATTGTTGGGTGAAGATATATGCCCCTTTTATTTCATTCGAATTGATTTATGTAACCATGACGCCGCGAAATCACAAACAAACAGACAATTATGTAGTCAATGTACACTTCATTACACGTTCTATTGAGATACACTTCTGCATATACACTATTTTTCTCATATCGATCTCGTTTCTTTGATATCTGTTTTTAAATCATGGAAATAGAATCCATTAGCCGACATATGTGGCTTATATATATATATATATATATATATATATATATATATATATATATATATATATATATATATATATATATATATGAGGCATTCTAGAAGTGGTCGCGAAAGTGTCGAATGAACGGTATTATCGTCTACATTCATCGTTATTTGTCATTAGATATTGCATCAACTCACCAATCCGTGAAATCAAGACAGTCAGGCAATGCGTTATATGCTAAAAATACACGTCGTCTGAATTCAGAATTTATTTAATTTGAATATTAACATATATGGAACTGTTCATTACCATATGACGGATATGTCACAGGCTACTTGATATTTTATTCACATACAATTCCCAGACAGATCTGTTTTCAAATAAAAAAAAGTGTAATTTATTCGATAAAATAATCTAATTGAGGTGGTGGAAAATGTAAAATGACAGTTTAGAACAAAGAAGAAATATGTTATCTGATTAAAAAACCATTCATTCATAATACATATGTTCTAGCTTGGTTAGGTAGGACGATATTGAAATATACTAGATAGCAATTTTTGTACGTATGTGTTCCGTGGTTTTTCGAACTTCGTCAAAATGACTGAAACTCGCGATTGCGACATAATGCTACATTACGTACGTGACACAATTTATGAATAGTTAGTCGGTGACAAAGCATCTTTGTCAAATGTAAAACGCACTGCATCATGGAACGTCTGTGTACAATTTAATTATGAATCAAGGGCAGAAGATTGAGCAATCAAGTATGCATAAGCAACAAGCTACCGTAAAAACAAAAATTACGTAAATAAAGAAGACAAAACTAAATGATGAAATTATCGTTCCCTTTATCAATACCTTATGACCTATATACTGAAATAAATGATGATGTAAATGTTGTTTGATTGACAGTTTGAACTTTCAAAATGTTTGCGGAAATAAAATATATACGACTTGGGGCTGTCATGGTCCTCTGAGTTTCTAGATAAATTGGATTTCCAAAGGAGTCAAGGACGTGTGTGACCAACCACGAATAGATACATTCAAACAAATCTCTGAATATCTATCATTATATTTCACTTTAATTTATCATTTGTTCAAATTAACAGCGCATGGTACAATGTTCAATTCAGCGTTAACTGTCGATAGCATTTCCCCCGTTTCTGGGAGATAGTCTTCCACTTTTTTACAGAATAACGTTAGGTTCCTTGTCAGATACTTGTATATATTATGTACGATTGCCATGTAATACTTTGAATATTTTTTTATCCGCAGACAAATACAACCTTTTCATCGCGGACATATATTTTTTAAACTATTGTGCTTATAGAAAATGTCATCTTTCAACACTTTTCTTCGGGCTAACGATGCACAAAATATACCAGCTATTCCCCACGCAACTAACTGAGCAACTACGGTTTTGCGTTATGGGCAAAAGATCGCGAACACATGGATGAGATTACGTCTGAAACGTTTGGTGGATTATATCTCAAGAACTGGGAGGCATATTATAATGCTAATACCCGATTTCAAAGATTATAACGGAAAGTGCACGAGCATAATCGCATGTATCTAACCTTTCTGAATATATATATATATATATATATTGTCATATTTCACATCCTCAATAACTATCCGAGAATGTCTTAATCGAAATTAAACTGTTACTGGTATTCCTCTGTCGCTGCCTAGAAAAATGGGTGTATTTCATAGAGAACGTGTGACACTAAGAACTTTTTCGCTTATAATCGCCGATGGCCTATTGCCTCAACTTTTTTATCTTCATATCGAACTTTATATCTCAGAGGAGTCCTCGTATCCTATAGTAAACAACTAAAAGGTCATTTACAAGACAGTATAAAACAAAAATGTAAACCCACAGAAAAGCAGTTTGGTTGGTTCTCACTACAAGTGAGGTCGATCCTCCCCTGTCAAATACACCCCCTCCCCCCAAAAGAAATTCATTAAAGACAAAGCGGGGTCATTCTTGGGACATGTCACACTGGGGATGTCGAATGAAGAAGCAAACCAAATATAGACTTTACAGTGAAACGTCATAGTATAGTACAAAAAATGTAGACTGTTAATGGAAGGAAGTGGCCCACTTTTAATGACGAGCAGCGAATCGTCACTGAAGCATGCTGACGAGCTCTTCCATAACAAGGTCATGCACATTGTATTAAACACCTTAACGAAGCCAATATTCATATATAATACAATAAGCAAATATCATAAATTTCTCGGGGGAGGGGTTAAATAAAAATTCCTACTTTTGAAGGTACATATTGGTGGCCAAATAAATATAATAGCTCACCAGAATATAGTAAGCAAGTCTCAGTCATTTGCAAATGTAAATATGCACTGTATTTCGATATTCCACTTTGATAAAATTATACGCAACATTAAAATGCGTTTGACGTTTTCGGAAAAATAACGATCGGTTAAATACGAACAAAATAACCACAGCAGCACAATCTAGAGAAAATGATGCTTAAACGTGAGTTGAATTATTTATATGCAAATGAGGTTTCTGTTTGCATATTACATGCACAACATGGAGAGATTTCCTGAGCGTGCGCATTTGCAATGTAAACACGATCGCCCTTATTTCTGCTTGATGTATTTATTTAACGTTGAATATTCCACAATGTTTACCATTAGCGTAAACAATACGAATTTAATCAATTATCCGTTTATTGTAGAGTCGGGTTTCCATAGCAACGTCATAATTGACAGGATGTCACACACCTCTGTACCGCTGGCGGTCGTTTCATGAGATGAAACTCGTCCGAATGGCGGAGAGAGATTTTCGGCTGTACAACACATCGTTTCTTTTTCTAACGGCACACGTACTGTTAACGAGTTCACGTGAGTGTCGGCAGCCACTATTGTAATTATCTTTTCTGTCAATATCCGTAGTGGCAGAATTCATTTTCTGATAGCATACATTCGTATGTGGTTATTCACACTGGCTTCGTCGCACTATATCAGCTTTATAATTAATATTGATAATAATAATTATAACATGGTAACAAGAAATATTGTGTACAATTGCCTAGGAAAAGTAGTCCCAATTTACAATGTTATTTGGTAATTGCTTCCCTGTGCCCGACTTGCAATTTGTTCGTGCCTCACACAACATGCGTTTATTGTCATCAAGGTTAAATACAACGCTATCTGAAATGCTTTCACTAAAAAATGGTTTCGCCTTTGAGGCCGATCAGCTGAGACCAACAAAGGGATTCCCTAAACGCATTAGTGTTTTGCCATGCGCAATGAGCTCGGAATATTTATGCTGTCCTGACCACGAATGCGTATGAGACAACGTTTGGCGTAGACGATAGATGGCTTGAACGAATCCACATTAACAGCCATTGATGTTTGCCTAATAACCCCGCGTATGCAACCGGCCAGCCGTACTCGTGTCATACAATCCTCCCTTCGTCGTCCTGTCTCGTTAGCGAGAGGACACATTCCTCGATTTCACGGATCTAGCAGCTTTTGAGGCATCAATTGCGGTTGATTTTTCCTCACAACCCGACTTTCAACACGGCTTTTCGTTATTTGAAATGGCTGGAATAATCCGCCGGCATAAAACTATATTTGGAGGTTCTATGTTCAACTTGGATGAGATAGATGAGGAGCCTGAGCTCTCACCACCCTCCCTACGTCGGGTGAAGACAAGCAAACCGGTACGAAAGACATCCCGAGCAAAGGAACCTTTGCGAGCTGTTCGATCAGACCCACCACCGGGAACATGCTGGTAGGCATAGCCTTTTACATCTTACACTCAGCTACATATTCAATAACAACATAGGTGTCATAGTGTTTGTTTTGCTGGCAGTGCGTAGCGTTTATATCGATTATATTACCGTCAGTTCGATTACCGACATACTGTATTTTTTCATATTAGTTGCTGTTACCAATATTCGACAAAATAAAACTAAATAAAAAAATAACGAGTGCAAATAGAGTGGCAGTTCCAAATATATACATTGCGTTTCTTCTGAGATCACGTTCGTTTTTTTTTTCGACCGGTCATTGCGTCATGGTTACTACGGTGACTCGAGCCACGCTATTTCGCGCCAGTCATACCCCAGTGCTGCGTGTACCCTTTACTATCTACACGCAACGCATTCTGTACGTGGCGATAATTTTATCCTGGGGATTTTATCAGCACACAAGCCACCTACAACTTCACGCATCGTTAAAACAATGTATTTCAGTTGCTGCAATATGTGGAACCGGACATTCGACATTTGTACTGCGAGTTTCCAGGAAACATTTGTGTAAATTATGTCATGGTAGGAACACATAGACTATATAAATACGAGGTGTGCGAAGGGTGTTACGAAGGAATGTAGTTCATACAAAACAATACGTTGAATTAATAAATTCTCAACAATCGGACGCATGGCGCTCTGTATGCCCTCTGCTATCCCTGTGTATTCCAACGTGCTGTATACATAGCTACAGTGTTGGCGAGAATGTCTGCATCGACACTGAGCCAGTTAGTACATGGGGACGGGAAAGCACTCTATTGGTATTTATCGAATTATTGCGCATAATACATATTAGGTAAAATTCACGATGTCAGTTTTAATTAACGGCATGCGCGTTATAGATGGATTACCAAGGTCTGTTTGTTGTAATTGCTTAAATGCTTCCGGGAATAAAATAAAAGTCTAGCGATCGGTGTGTTGATTTTACCCACCCCGGTGATATCTGAGATACCTCACCTTTATGAACCTCAACGACGAGATGTTCTTTGTAGTTGCATGTCTGTAACCAGATATATGACATTTCACTGTCCGTGAGTTATCAAACAAGTGCTATTTTGTTGTGAGTTTGACAAAGAACAAATTACAGATTGTGCTTCATGGACAACTTACACGACATAATGGTTTTCCTATTATTGTACTTACATCTGTGTTTCCCTTAACAGTCTAAAGTAGATGTCCTGCCTGTGAAAATATGTATCATTCAACATTTTGTAAAATGTGTGTGTATTTATACACATAGTATAGTTCATGTTTTTAGTTTTAGCGCAATTGCCGAATGTTCAAGTTATTATCGGCAATTAAGATAAAGCGACCAGTTTACAAATGAACAACATTTATAAATACACATCAACTATAATCGTATGTGCGTCTTTAATTTGTTTTCGATTGCCATTGTTTTATAACAGTTGCATATCATTAATATGTAAATGTGTATGCTTGTCGACGTTGCGTGGTAATTATACATTGTCGACGTCTGAAAGTGCCTACGTAGGCATTTGTATTGTGAGGTTTGTGTTTGAGAGTTCTTCATAGGTCATTGAGTTATTTATAGTTTTTAGTATATTTTTAGTACAGAATATTAGAAATTTAGCATGTAAACTCCTCATACACAAAGAGTGTATACAGTTGTGAATAGAATTGATTAGTTACATATACGTTGCCACCAGAGACATGTCTCGTGAAATATTTTTGCAATCGTCTGAGAAATTAAAAGACTATTTGACCGGCATTTTGAGCTCTCCAAACCAGACAGTCGGAGGAATATATATATATATATATATATATATATATATATATATATATTCTCCTGACAAGTTGTACACCTGCTCCTCAGAAAAGCATCACTGTCATATTTTGTCACTTTCCAAATTGCGTTTTTCACATGAACCGATTCCAAGAAATGGATTACCCCAATGACCTACCCAATTTAATTTTCGATAACGTTTTTTTTTTGCGCTTAGTTCACGCTTTCTCGTAATATTTATGCCATCATCCTAGTTATCCAAGCATATTCCATATTGCACTTCAATTTAACTATGACCTGTGAACAATATTTCGTGAAATGAATATTTTATTAATCATACTTTTTATGATAAATTATATTACCAATAATACATATTGGATAATATTCCCAGTTCGTCCTGGTATATGATACATTTCACAGAGTCTGCTCCCTACCAAAATGTATTATCGATGACTTATTTTTTTCCGCAATAATCGCTATAATAATCGACGGTGCTATTGACTGAACGACTGACATGGAGAATTTAATCTCCTTTTAGCCTCGATCCTCACCATCATTTCCGTTATTTCCTGCATGCATTTGCGACCGCGTGTTGTCATGCCAACCATGTACATCAGCTATGTATGCCAGATTCTGAGTTGAGTACAATCTAAAAGAGTTCCCAGGCAACTGATTATGGTAATTTCAGCAGTGTTTACAGCAAATAAAGCCTAGTATTGCGTTCTGCTTATTGACTAAAAATATTTTAATAATTTTCAGTCTTTAATTCATTGTAAACACGCCGATATTGAACTGCCTCGTGTAGCTTTAAACCAACTTTGGGATTGGCATTTTGTTGTCGAATCACTAACGAATTTGGCGATCACGTGACAACAACTTTCTATTGTTGGTTTGAATTGATGATGATTTGTTTTCAAAATTGAAACATTTTTCGGATAATATTTCAAAAATTAAATAAACAATTACATATGTAAAAACGTTATCGCGAAGCTCTCCGTCATCATCCGGGACTTGTTTCCCTTACCTAATTAGCATACAAACTGCTAGTTTATTATATAACCACTCACACACTTTGAAGCAACGAAAGATTGTATCTTATACGAACCATTCAACGCGGTGGGGGTAGAGCTTTGTTGAAGTAAATATAATCAAATCGGTTAGCATAACGAAGAGCTCCTCAGAAGCACATTCTGAAACTAGAGCCAAGGGCCCAGCAGATACCATTCAGCCCCACGTGAATGGCAGTAATTTGAAATGACGTGGGCATTCTAGCACGCTGTGACACGCCGCTTGTGTGCAGAATGTGCAATGATGTTGACATCAACTCCAATAGCTACAATGTACGTTAACGAGCCACGGTTCACTTCCATTGAGATACCTGGCCATTTCAGTTAACATGTACCATTCCTTTTAAGTAGTTGCTAAAATACTAAAGCAACGCGTACTCGGAATACTCCAAGTCACATTGCGGCCCCATTGGTTGTCAGTCTGATTGATAACTGTACCTGTGATCAATCAATTCAATTCAACAAAAACACGAAAAAAAAAAACGGTAGCCATTCCTCGCGCTAGGAAAATCTTGATGCACGTATCTGACAGAACATGACGATGAGAACACACGCAATATTGTTTGTTAGACGAGGTCAACAGCCCTCGAGGACATCTGTGGCGAGATTACATCTAATGGTGTGTCCTTCGTTAATGAATGCATTCAGCTACACGGGCTTAAATATACAATTCGAGGATAGAACTCACATATTTTCTATTATGAGGCGCGAATGTTTCATTGACGGGGGTACTCTATGTTTTGTCCCTGACAGAAATGTTCTCGTGATAAAATGCCCTGTTTTGTCGATGATCAATTATTCCACGGTTGAAAAGTAGCAGCTGGTAAATTCCATATGCTGTTTATCAGTCAGTGTATAACGAATTAATTAGTACGGAAACAACAAAAAACAATATGATAATATTTCTCGTCATCCATAATTAATTAATTTGCTCAACTAAGTTATCTAAGATGACGCAATTCAGGAAAACTCTTACGCGTCCGTATGAAGCGGTAGATTTACATATATCCTTATGTTATCGCGGCCATTGCCTTTCAACAACAAAAATGGCGGTTTGTATTTTCAGATATGTCTCGACACTTCACTATTGTGTTATATGATTAAATTATGGACGAGTGAAACAGGGCAGTTTTATTATCGTTTAATATACCTTTGTGTTGTTAATTATCATGTTATCACAAATTGACAAAATATCGATACATTAAAATGATCGATAGTCGTTCCAACTGAGGTGACTGTGACGAAACATGTGACACCACACAGTCAAGCTACTGTAAACAACTCTGAGTGAAAAGAAGCCGTTCTACGCAATTTAAATACTACTGATTTAAAGCGTCATAGACATGTTGGGATATTTTATTTAGAATCTGAAAAACACACAACCGGCAGCTGTTTATTATTAACATTTTATCGCTTTAATATATATATATATATATATATATATATATTTTACACAGTTCGTTCGTTAATGTTTGGGCAACTCGCAATTGTACTATCTAGAGTTCACGAATTTATTTAATTCTTATGGGAGCGACTGTGTCTATTTTAGTATTATCAGCGTTTAATAATCGAGGGACATTCTGTCAATGTCGTCAAATACAGATAATAATCAACATTACGCGTACGTGTATTGTGCGCCAATTCAAAGCTTTTGTTCGGCGTCATTACGTTTTCCACAACAGCTAAGGCTCAATATTTGAAAACCACCTTACTAACGATTACGGATTATCGCCTACTGTATATCCTCGTTATTAGTGTTTTTAGTCTATTTGCTACAAACAGAAAACAGTTCGTGCTGGTCACAACTAGAACTAGGATGAATGCTCTCAGCGAACTGTCGGAGAATTTGATTACAGCCGATGTTTGTGCTATGCGGTTTTTTCTTACATAGATACATTCATACGTTGAGGCACGTTCAACCAGAAGTCTCTTCTAGTATTATATAACACGGGTATATGTCTGGGTCGTTATAATCCAGTTAGGGAGATGAGGAGTATGCCTAATCGAGTCGAAACTGAATTACTCACGATGTTTCGATTGAACGTAATACATTTAGCGTGCACTCTAAAGTAATGTGTGGTGGAAGCCTTTTTACAATGAAAATAGCAATACGCAGTATTTTGCGATGGGAATGTATTCTGACTAAATATATACAGTGAACATTTAAACT